TCCCAGGGATGCAAGGGTTGCTCAGACATGGGGGTGTATTTATAAAGGATGACCTCATTTTGCATGAGGCTGGCACAACATCATCCACTGTTTTTCAGCATTACATTTCAGTGCTGGAAAAAATCCGAGCAGCCTGATCGGTTTTCCGCTCTGCCCCTCTTCATTGCAGAGGGCCGTTATCCTCGCTCAAAGGAGGATTACGCGGGGGTTTCCCTTCGCAGCCTCCCACCTCAGCTGGTCAAGCAGAGCCATGACTTTGCCCAACAAGCTGACAGCAGCTACTGCAGCCACTTCACACCCTTAGAGGCCAGGAGACATCAGGTGGTGTGTCAAACCAGTCCCAGAATCTCTAATATAATTGCTAATCCTGTGATTAAAAGCATTATGGATAATGATAAACATTTACCATTGCTCCCTGCTAGGTGCTGTGTGGTTGAGTCCCTCCTTCTCCTATTGCCAGGCGATATATGGGATTTCCAAACCCTTTCCTCCCAGCCCAGAGGAATGCCTTTGAATACATCCAGCAGGCTCCCACCAGCGCTTTGCCTCGTGAGAGCAGGCACAGGACATGGTTCTGCTCTGAAGATGCTTTGCCTGGATACAAACTACCAGTTTCTCAGCACCAGCACAAGGCAAGAGCATTGCAGACTGCTGGGAGCCCACACCTGGCCGCGCAGCCACCTGTGAGCGACCAGATGGTTTGGGGGGATCTGCTGGAGGCAGCAGTGCTAAGGATGGCTTTACATCTCCTCCTCCCCAGATCCATCACATGGAGCCACGATGAGACCAACACATGGGACCAGAACCAGAACAGAGCTGCCAAGCTGCTGCTTTCATGTTGAGTAGGGAGTAGCTGTGAAATATATCCCATTAATGACATTAATCCATTAGGCCCAAGGGCCTCGGTGCCCTCCGGTGACCCCAGCACACAGTTGTGGCCATCCCTGATGTCCCCAGGCACCCAGTGCTCATTGCTCCTGCCATACACGAACACCCATCGCAGCAGCAGCAGGACCCACCGCGCTGGGGAGAGAAAGTGGGATGGGTCCCTGTCCTCCAAGAGCCCTTAATCCCAGATCATGTCCTATGGAGCACCAGCAACCTGCGCTCTGTCCTAAAACTCACAGACAACAACTCCAGCAGAAACTGAACGTCTCTCTAATCAAAAATTCATGCTCTCTTCAAAAGAAGCCCCACTGAAAAATCAGAATGTTTCCTTCCTCCCTGCCTCCTGAAGCTGATGAGCCAAGGCAGCTCGGGTCCAGCAGGCAGACCTCTCCACTTGGACTTTAACATATCCAGGTGAGAAGCTGGAGCATTACCCCACTCTGCCCCACAGTGATGTCTCAGGAACACGTACGAGCAAACCCTCCCGCAGCTCCCTGCCGGAGGGGTGTCCCCTCAGAGACCACCCAGCATTGCTCCCTCCAGCCACCCAGCCCCACCACAGCAGCTTTCTGCACAGCAGCTTCACTTTAGCGGATATCCACAACTTTCCCAAGCAGAAATGAGCCAAAACACTTCTGACCATGGCTCGGAGCAGATAAGGTCTCGTCCAAAGCAAACACACGAACCTACCCAACCTTACATATTCCATTAAGTATTAGGAAACAGCGCGTTTGCTTTCAGATAAAGGCCAGCAGAGCCGGCCCGTGCTCCGCTGGCGACCCGGACCCGCTGTTTACTGCCCGACTGCGCATGGGGGGCCCTGGCGACCTAAATTTTCTTTCCACCTCTAACTGCAATAATCCCGACATTTCCTCTTTTCCCTTTCTCGTGGTTGCACTGCCAGATACAATCAAACCACGAGAGTCAGCTCAACCCAGGACAGATACAATCTGTCTGGGCTGTTCAGGATCTGCTTTTCGTCTTATCCCTAAATCACCTTGTTTTCTCGGAGGAATTCAGCAGCCACACAAGTCTTGTTTTCTGCACAGAAATGCACCCAGCCTGCCCGAAGCATCCGGGCCAGTCCCTGGGTGACCTGGTGGCCAGCTCTACACTGCCACGCTCAATTACTGCTCAGGTTAATTAATGCATTGTTCCCTCTGAAGACTTAACGTTGAACAGACTGAAAAAAAATCCACTAAAATTTGTCATGGGAAAGAAGCCCAAGTCTTTCAAATTCTTTTTCCTGCTGTAAGAGCAAGTCCCCACGGTCCGGCGCATCTTTTCACAGGAGTCACAACCAGCAAGGACAGAGTTGCAGTTATCCAGGGTACAAAACATCCCCTGAAGTTGAGCTGCAGAAAATTCTTCCAGCTGCAGAGCTCCAGGGCTGGGAACATCCAAGGCACAGGGGCCTCGGACCCATGCAGCTCCTTCCTGCCCCCCGGCACATCCACCACGGCTTTGCCAGCCCCACACTTGACCTTCTATGGACTCTGCCCCACCTTTACAGGCAGCACAAAATTTTCTAGCTGGAAATTGTACGGATAGCTGTGCCCACATCGGATGGCTGAGTTATAGACACTCCTGCGGGATCATGCCTAGGAGGTCAGCTCTGCTACGGACACGCAGCTCATCCTAAGGGCATCCTAACGGAGCGGCGTGCAGACGTGGCCTCCCAAAGGTCCCACATCAATGTGCAGGCAACAGGTGTTTCTGCGTGGAGCGGGATTCATGCAGTCCCCAGCCCTGCCATACAGCTAATCCCGCTGTTACTGCCAGCCCAACCACACCCGGTTCTCCAGGAAGATCCCAGCATACCTGTAAGCAGAAAATGGGTTCAAATCCTGCAAAGGGTTTTTGAGAAGAGCTGGTCCAGAGACTGCCGGAGACCTTGTAGCAACCCTGGAAATGAGCATTCCCCAAATCTGGTGCACAAACCTGCATTACTCTTTGTACAAGCTCAAGTCACGGCCATCCTCGCTCCCTTAGTAATAAAACAAACCCCAAAGCAGGGGCCACAGCATCAGCACTCCCCTAGCATGCCATCAGGTGCGAGAAGGGACACATGTCACGGACGGGCCCATGGACACATCTGGGGAACCATCGCAACAACAATGCTTCGCACTTCCACACTTCATGATTTCATCGTGCCTGTGATGGAAAGTCCCTGCTACCAGCCTTCCTGCGAGCTCCCACAGAGACCACCTCACCATGAGGCTCATCCAGCACCTTTAGGAGCTGTGTTCTCCTCTGGGCTTGGGGGTAGGGTTCTTGCTTTTACGTTTGACGCAGAGAATAGGAAGGTTTTACTACCCAAAAGCCCCAGGCTTCTGCCACTGTCCTCAAAACATGCGGGGCTCCGTTGCAGGGCTAAGGGCAAGGATTCCATAGTGCTAGGAAGACCATGTCTAGCTCTGCTAAGTGCTCTGAGCAGTGTTTCCAGCACATTGGCCACTTACCCACAGTAGTGTTGTTCTCTTGGTAGACAGGCCTCAGCAGCTGTAAGACACAACCCAAAAGGACACAGTCACCTGAAGCAGGCTTAGGGTGGACTTTACAACAACCAACTGCAAATTTGAGCACATCAAACCCAGCAGAGCCAAAGCACTCCAGAGAGGTGAAAATCGTTTTCATCCTATTGCCAGCAGAAAAGGAGAGCAATGACTCACACTGTGGTCTATGCAGTGGAAACACTTTCCATACCCCTTGAGTGAGCGCTGAAAGGAGGCAGCAGGTCATTCACCCCAGCCCTACACTCCTAGTGGTTAACGTTTTACGAAATTACTGAAAGCTGACTGAGGGACACAGGTCTGGCTTGTAAAAGTGGAATGTGCCCTAGCAGACATTTAGAGATGACGCTCAATGAGGCTGAAGCACAGGCCAAGAGAGAATCCAGCAAGCACGGCCAACACCCACGCGCAGTAACGTGAGCGCGGGGCTGGCAAGCAGCCGTACCTGGCTCCCTGGGTTCACAGGAGCTAAGATGATGTAGTTCTGGTCCGCAGCGGAGGGGACACGGGACAGAGGTGGCATGGTGTTCTGGCTCCGCTTGCCCATCTCCGTGTACCTCTCCCAGCTGTTCAGCACCAGCCCATCGGTCCCATCGTACAGTATGTGGCAGCTCCGGCGCTGCTCGGGCCGCGGAGGCATGGTGCTGTTCTTTTCCCGCTTGTTGGGTGGGGACTGGAGGTCGTAGGCAGACTTGCAGGACGATCTGCGGATCATGCCTTCGTGTCCTGGCTTGACCTGTGGGACAAGCCTCCAGACCAGTAGTATGATCTCAGTGGGACAGTTCCTGAAAGAGACGGCATGGAGCAAGTCAGAGATGGAGCAGCAGGGATGGGGCACCCTGCACCATTCAGACAGGCACAAGCCCCAGTCCTTCCTCCCTCTGACACCTCTACCCCAGTCCTGCCCTCCCCAGCCCCTGCATCCTTTCTTCCATTCCAGAGAGTCCTTTCCCAGTCTGCTGCTTCCTTCAAAGCCTTCCCCTTCCCGTAGCCACTCAAAGCTCCTGGTGCCCTGAGCTCCTTCAAATCATCTCTCCCAGAGCCCTGCACCAATGCTTTGGGTGAACACTCACCGAATTTCGTGTGCCAGCTCCACACATTTCCAGTGCTCCACAGGCTGCTCGTTGAGCTGCAGCACTGTGTCGAGCTGCTGCAGACCGGCCTTTTCTGCTGGGCCCCCTAGGCGAGAAGAGAGAAATGCCAGTCACGGGCTGGACAGAGCTGGGAGTACAAGGGGGAGGAGAAGACTTGGGGCAAGTGGACTCCCAAATAGCCCAGCTTCACAGCTTGCACTGCTTGCTCCTCCAAACCCAATCTGCCACCTCTAACATCCACACCTGAAAATAAAGTGGGGCCAGCTAGTTTGGAGCTTTACCTTCCAGCATGCACACACACACGGCATGCCTGGGACAAAGCCATAAATGCTCTCTTGGAGCTACTGCATGAACTTCCCATGTTTCCTGGCGTGCAGCGGGGAACACCGGGGTACAACAGAGACACCAAGTCCATCCCACAGGTCCATTCCAAAAGGACCTAGTCAGGCAACCGAGGGTTCCCGTGAGCCTGATCCCCTCTGTGCCTCTGTCTGACACATCCCCCAGATGCTTTTCCTAGGTCTCCCAACCAGCCAGCCAGCTCTCAGGTTGGAGATGGAAGGGAATAAAATCTCTGCAAATTACTGCAACACACTGCCAGAACAGTGACACAGCACTAACCCAGTGGCCTCTGACCTCATTAGAGGCAACAGAATTCATTAAGTGAAGTTTCTTGGAGGTAAGCAGAGTCCTGTGAGGCACGGGAGCTTCTGAATCACAATATGCTCTGGGAAGCAAAAAAGGAGCAGAGTCATTCATTCAAATCAAGAGGGATAAAAACGATCCGCTGTCTTACCGGAGTCCACTGCCTGCACACGGACTGGGGAGTCGCAGCAGATTGTGAAGCCAAACCCATCGCTTCCTCGAGGGATCGTAATCTGGAAAGAGATACCGGAGTCACTCCATCAAGCAGGAAAGCAGCCGCTGTGTGTGATCAGCGAGCATCCCCCCCTTCACCCACACACTGCCTTCGGAAACGCGGACACACGGCGTTTCTAGCAGCAGCCGCAGGACCAACGGAGAGCGGTCCCGCACAACGAGCGTTTATTGAGCACAAGCAAGCCCCCGCTCGCAGCTCTTGCAAGCGTAAGGACAGGTCTGATAAGCCACTGGAAAGGAAAACCCGGCAACCTGGCTCTGACGCCGATTTCTAACACACTTCTCTAGGCAAGTCACCTAAACATTTCATTTCCAGCTGGGTAATACAGGAATAGCAGCGCTCCGCTGCTCCGGAGGAAGCCGCGGGGATCAGCACGCTCCTGTCTGCGAGGCGCTGAGCTGGAGCAGGCTCTGCGGGCATCCCCCCTTAGCTGGGGTGAGTATGTTTTCTCTCGCTGAGTTTGGAGAGGATGGATGCTGTGTTGATTTAGGCTTGCTTCTCCTCCTGATTCAAGAAGCATTGGGCTTACTAATAAAATGATTTTTTTTTTTTATGTTGGCTTCCAGCAGCAGCTCAGCATAACCGTTCCTGTAAATACCTGATTATCCCCCAAGACGTTTCTCAAGATCCTTGTTTTACTGACAGAGAAAAGAAAAGAAAAAAATCCAACATCTGACCTGTATTATTTTGAGAACAAACAGTCAGAGAGAAGACAAGAAATTCAGCCGAAGCTGCCAAGGAGGGGAATTGGTTCTTCGCTCCTTTATCCTGGATTGCTCAGCATAAAATCAGGCTTCAAAAGAGAAACTTTCTTTCCCTGGCGGGATCAAAAAGCAGGTCCAGCCCCACTACATTAAGTATTTTTCTCTCTGGAGTTTGGTGGATCCTCAAACAGGAGAGGATTCTCCTTGAGGTTCTGCACTTTCAAACCAACCTCACGTTTCAAATATAAAGTTGGAGGGTCCAAGTCCTGCAGAACCGTTTCGATCGGCACCTCGGGAGCCAGCGCAGCATCTCTCCCACCACAGAGACTCTCCATGGTCACCTCCCAGCCCAAAGCTTCCTCCAGCACCGAGAGGTCTCCCACTCCTTCTCCCTGAGTTGGCTGGCTCTTGTCCACTGCCAACAGAGACACCTTCCCTGTGCCACTAAAGAGCAGCTCCTCGCTGCCGCTGGTTCACTTTCCTCAGCTCCCACCACTGTGGCCCTTACAAGGAGCTGAATGTCCACTTTTGCTGCTGTGCACACAACTAAGAAACACAAACATCTGACATAAGATGGAAGGTGGGTGGCAAGATGGTGAGAGACACCAGCACCACGGACGCTCACTGTATCCATAACTTGTCAAAATAGAGAGGAAGTTGTCAAAATAGAGAATTAAAGTCTAAAACACAAATCACAGTAAGTCATCATTAATACAAAGCAGAGAAGTATTTCTGCATGAGACAGTCCCTATAGCCCTGATAAGATATGGATATTTCTAGTTAAGCTGGTTCTTTGTGCAATTCCCAGTACAGACTGTCCATGCCAGAGCTTTAGCGTGACCCAGGATCAGCACAGGAGAGCAGAGAAAAGCTCACCATGAGCTGGGAGCCCCAGTCCAGCCTATGGGTGGAAAATTATGTTCAAAAGCGCAGGAGACCTGGGACCTGCACATGCAAAACCAGCACCCAGCGTTGCACACTGGGCAGGTCCAAGAGAACCTGCGCTGGCTTTCACAGAGCACGGCAACCTGCTCGCCATCGGTCATGACCAGCTACCAAGCAACGCCCGATTCCCAAATCCATTCACATTAAAACAATTTTCAAAAAGAGCTGGTGGCAGCGTGGCAGAGGCTGAGCTGGCTGCGGGGCCAGCCGCTCCTCTAACGAGCAGTAAGTTGAGAAAACACCTCGAGCTTAGCACTTCCACCACGGGCGTGCTACCCTCCAGTTCCACAGCAAACGCTCCCCCTCTGTCCCCATGCACACGCTGCAGCAACAGGCAGAGAGCAGCCAGAGACACCCACCTGAAGATGCTTTCCTTATATTCCAAATATTATCATTTACGATTCTAACAACAGCAAAACACCCCAGAAACAGCACCCACACCACCCAGAAACAGCACGAAAGCCCACGGACACTTGCAAACTTAACCCAGACTCCCAGCAACGCTCACACACACGCTGGCACACGGATTGATTTAATTTTTTTTTCCCCACGGAAGATACAGACCTGCCTGTACCTCCGCTCCGAGCACACCTTGCAGAGTCCATTGAAGCGGTTCATGGCTAGAACCCCGAAACTCGCCGTTAGCCCATGAAAATCCAGTCCCCCCGAGCAGCCGTAACCCCGGTCTCCTCGTATCCCACAAGTGTGGAACAAACCACAGTCAAACTGGCATGACCG